GATTGAGAGATAGCAAGCTCGAAGAAGGTCAACAATGGGGGAAGAACATGAGCTTAAGAGATAAGGTCCAATGGGGAAGAAGACCCCCTTTTATAGGTGGGGGGAAAATCCAACCATTATCCCCATTCTCCGCTTGCAGCGGGCGGTACTGCCGCTCGGCATAGCGGTACTACCGCTGGGACCTCACACATCGCCTAAGGGAGAAGGAACAAAGAGGAGGGCTGAAGGAAATATGCCCTAGAGGCAATAATAAAGTTATTATTTATTTCCTTATAATCATGATAAATGTTTATTATTCATGCTAGAATTGTATTAACCGAAAACATAATACATGTGTGAATAAATAGACAAACAAAGTGTCACTAGTATGCCTCTACTTGACTAGCTCGTTAATCAAAGATGGTTATGTTTCCTAACCATGAACAATGAGTTGTTATTTGATTAACGAGGTCACATCATTAGTTGAATGATCTGATTGACATGACCCATTCCATTAGCTTAGCACCCGATCGTTTAGTATGTTGCTATTGCTTTCTTCATGACTTATACATGTTCCTATAACTATGAGATTATGCAACTCCCGTTTGCCGGAGGAACACTTTGGGTACTACCAAACGTCACAACGTAACTGGGTGATTATAAAGGAGTACTACAGGTGTCTCCAAAGGTACATGTTGGGTTGGCGTATTTCGAGATTAGGTTTTGTCACTCCGATTATCGGAGAGGTATCTCTGGGCCCTCTCGGTAATGCACATCACATAAGCCTTGCAAGCATTACAACTAATATGGTAGTTGTGAGATGATGTATTACGGAACGAGTAAAGAGACTTGCCGGTAACGAGATTGAACTAGTTATTGGATACCGACGATCGAATCTCGGGCAAGTAACATACCAATGACAAAGGGAACAACGTATGTTGTTATGCGGTCTGACCGATAAAGATCTTCGTAGAATATGTAGGAGCCAATATGGGCATCCAGGTCCCGCTATTGGTTATTGACCGGAGACGTGTCTCGGTCATGTCTACATTGTTCTCGAACCGTAGGGTCCGCACACTTAACGTTACGATGACAGTTATTATGAGTTTATGCATTTTGATGTACCGAAGGTTGTTCGGAGTCCCGGATGTGATCACGGACATGACGAGGAGTCTCGAAATGGTCGAGACATAAATATTGATATATTGGAAGCCTATGTTTGGACATCGGAAGTGTTTCGGGTGAAATCAGGATTTTACCGGATTACCGGGAGGTTACCGGAACCCCCCGGGAGTAATATGGGCCTTATTGGGCCTTAGTGGAAAGGTGAAAGGGCTGCCCACAAGGGTTGCGCGCCTCCCCCCTCCCCTAGCCCTATTAGGACTAGGAGAGGTGGCCGGCCACCCCTCTCCCTCTTTCCCCCTTGGGAATCCTAGTTGGAATAGGATTGGGGGGGGGGGAGTCCTACTCCCGGTAGGAGTAGGACTCCTCCTGCGCCCTCCTCCTGGCCGGCCGCCCCCTCCCCCTTGGATCCTTTATATACGGGGGCAGGGGGGCACCTCTAGACACACAAGTTGATCTTCGTGATCGTTCCTTAGCCGTGTGCGGTGCCCCCCTCCACCATATTCCACCTCGATCATATTGTAGCGGTGCTTAGGCAAAGCCCTGCGACGGTAGAACATCAAGATCGTCACCACGCCGTCGTGCTGACGGAACTCCTCCCCGAAGCTTTGCTGGATCGGAGCCCGGGGATCGTCATCGAGCTGTACGTGTGCTAAGAACTCAGAGGTGCCGGAGTAACGGTGCTTGGATCGGTTGGATCGGGAAGAAGACGTAGGACTACTTCCTCTACGTTGTGTCAATGCTTCCGTTGCGATCTACAAGGGTACGTAGATCATACTCTCCCCTCGTTGCTATGCATCACCATGATCTTGCGTGTGCGTAGGAAATTTTTTGAAATTACTACGTTCCCCAACAAGGGCTATTGAGCAGCACTAGTAGTGGTAGTGGCGGTACTACCGCTTACAAGCGGTACTACTGCTCCTATTGTCGCTGAACCCGACATGAGACACGCAGGTCTCGAGTCGAGGCGGTACTAGTGCGGAACCGGAGCCGTACTACCACCTATGGCCGTGGGCGGTACCACCGCTGTGAAACAACGGTACTGCCGCTTATGGCTTTCAGCGGTATTGTCGCTCTTGGGCCGCGGTACTACCGCTGGCACCTCCCTTATGCCACTTCCACGGAAACAAGTATACTTCAAGGAAAACCAGAACTGCCACACCTCCTGCAAATGAGCTCCAAAATGAGCAAACTCAAGTTTGTTGGATAGATGACGACGAGTACCCTCCAACAACAACTGGTTATAGTAAGAAGAGGCAGGGGAGGTATGCCTAACATATAGAGGAGTGAACCCTCCAACAGAGAAGAACCGACATAACCTCCAACATCGAAAATATCATAGAAGATGCATGTGAACTTTGTTTTCGATGAACTCGAGCTTGTCATGAAGATGACGAAGCTCTAAAACTCACAAAGAGAAACACCAAACAAGAACCAAGAAAGATGGTGCAAGGATGCAATAGTTTGAGCTCTCTACGAACGATACGATCAAGTTACTCATCAAGAGCCCCCGTTGATAGTACGACAACTGATCCTATAACCCGGTCTCTCAACTACCACCATGAGACCGGTAAAAACATAAACCTATCAAGGGCAAATCTTTGCCTTGCGCATGATCCACTTGAGCTAGATGATGACGATCTTGTCATCCTCAAGATGGACCATCTTTCTTGATTGCGTTGGGTCGATGAAGATTAGTTGATTGCTCCCCCATAATCCACTATGAATGAGCCACTCTTCCGCACATCTTCACAAGTCCATTGTCACAATGGACGGCAAGCTTCAAGCACTTGATCTCTTCATGATGCTCCACTTGAACGTGCACACGACAATCTTGATGACGATCACCACTTGATGTCATCCTCTCCATGGGTTGTATGATATCTTCTTCTTGACGCAAGCCCATGGACACATACCTAACCCCACATAGAACTCTCACACAGAACATGGGTTAGTACACAAAACGTAATGGACAATGCTTACCATACCATGGGATCACTTGATCCCTCTCGGTACATCTTCTACGTTTTGTGAGTTGATCAACTTGATTCACTCTTGACTTAGTCTTGATCAACCTCGAATCTTTCCAACTCTCTTCATTTGGATGATGCCTTCAAGGTAAACATGAATGATCACACAATCTTTGGATCACTTGCCTCCACCGCCACGCCCCCCGCCCGCGGCCCGCGAGATGATGCTTACAATCTTCGTACCATTTATCCTTCTGTGCAAACTTTTGGACGCAAAAAAACACCCATGTCTTGTGAGATATCATACATCTCTAACCTAACTCTCTAGGCTCACCGACTCATATCCACCGATCTTAAGAGGACACACCTCTAACCTAACTATCTCCCCCGTGTTTTTTAAGAGAATAACATGATAGTATGGCATCGAAAGCAAAGCATATGCAAGGTGAAGGCAACTTGGCGGACTGACAACAGCTATATATCTTCTGGCAGACGAGGTGCCCATTTTGCCAATCAATAAAGCACGTCATGAAGGTTTTTAGGGGACACCACCGGCAGGACGCCGCCCCTCACTACCCTGATAGCCTCTAGTTTTTTTCTTTATTGTCTTCGTTAGGGTTGCGTCGCTATGTACCTGCCTTCGGGCTTGTATTAGTTTTGCTGTGTTGTTTCGCTAAACTTTGTTGCACTTTGGCGGGCGTGTCGGATTGTAAGGGCCTCAGTTTAAGGCCGGGCAACCGCCTCCTTTCTAAAAAAACGACATGAAGGTTTTTTATAAAAAAAAAGAGAGAGAGACTTAGGGCCAGTTTATTTTTTTTATTTTTTTGCGAGTACGTAGGGCTGGAGCTGAGCCTATTGGGCGGGCGTCGTTTCGGCTAGGGATGACAATGGGTAGGGTATGGGCGGGTACAACCTCCTTCTGCCCAAACCCATACCCATAGAAACCTTCTATACCCACCCATTGCAATACCCATGGGTATAAATCGATACCCATGCCCATACCCATCGGGTATCCTATACCCAATGGGTATCCAATGGGTACAATCTATGGTATTTAAATTTATAAAAAATAAAGAAATAAGTCTAAAATTCAAGTGATGATAAGCGAGTAGTATGGCATCAACACAGCCTCCTCCGGTGGGTGGCCTCTTGGAGGAATCAAGCGAGTATGAGCAACGGTTGGTAGAATCTCGACGTAGTGGGAGACGGCTATGGGAATTGGGGATCGCTGGATCGAGAGATGGACAGGAGTTTTCGACGACGAGAATTCAAGATTTCATCTTTTCGAGAAGACATATATGATGTAGGGGAAGTGGCGAGAAAGCGCGTGTGAGCATCTGAGCTATGGCCGGTTTAGGGAATACAAGATTTAGGGATAGGCCATGGGAGTTAGATGTTGGCACCACATATCATAGGACTTATTTTTATTTATTATTTTTTTGTGGGTATCCATTGGATTATCCATGGATGCAATTTCATATCCATACCCTACCCATATGTTTTGCGGGCATGGATACCCATTACCCATGAATACAAAACCTCTTCATGTCTTGCCCATGCCCATTATATTCGGATAGGGTACCCGCGGGTATCCGTGCCCATGGGCAAAACCTAGTTTCGGCCCAGGAGCGAGCGAGCACAACGGATCCGTTGCTCACCTGCAGACGCCGTGCACGCCCACCTCGTTCCCGTCGCCGGCGCCGGACGTCCGGTACACCAACCCAACCCAAACCCATCCCATCCCAATTTTAAAGCGCGCACAAAAGGTGGGGGAGAAAAACAAAACAAAACAAAAGCCAGGCGCGGGGCAGCGCAGCGAGTGGACGAAAGCAAACAGGGCAAAGAGAGGGAGAGCGAGCGAGCAGCACCGGCAGCGCAAACGTCCCCACCCCACCCCCACCGCACCCTGCCTTTGTGGCGCTGCCACCAATGGCGAATAATTCGCTCTCCCACCACCTCCTCCTCCCGCTCGCCGGCGACGACGACCCCGCCGCCTCCTCCTCCTCCGCCTCCGCCCTCACCTTCCCCTCCTTCTGGCCGCCCTTCCCCTCCCTCCTCCCCGACTCCGACTCCGACGCGCCCTTCTTCCCTCCCCGCCGCATGGACCGCTGCGTCGCCGCCCGGCAGGAGACCGCCGCGGCGTTCCTCGGCCTCGACTTCCACGACGAGGACTACGGCGCCGACTGGGCGGCGCTGGACGAGCCCGGCCTGCCGCTCTGCTGGGACTGCCTGCAGCTGGAGGAGCACGACGCCCACCAGCGCTGGGACCTCACGCTGAGCGACGCCGACGAGTGGGAGCAGGTCGCCGCCCGGGGCCACGAGGAGGCCGAGCCCCCCGCGGCGCGGAGCCTCGAGTGGGAGGTGCTCGTCGCCGCTAACAGGCTAGGCAGCCTCATCATCGACGAGGACGTCGACGACACCGGCGTCGGCGTCGGCGGCATCGAGACGTACTTCCTCGACGGCGGCGCCGACGACGAGGACGACATGCTGTTCGGGCAGCTGGCCGCGGAGGCGGAGCACGAGCCCCCGGCCAAGGGCGGGCGCGCGGCGGCGAAGGCCGCCGTGGAGGGCCTCCCGACGGTGGTGGTCGCGGTCCGGGGCGGCGCGCAGTGCGCGGTGTGCAAGGACGGCATCGAGGACGGGGAGGGGGCCCGGAGGCTGCCGTGCGCGCACCTCTACCACGACGCCTGCATCCTGCCGTGGCTCGCCATCCGCAACACCTGCCCGCTGTGCCGCCACGAGCTGCCCACCGACGACCTCGAGTACGAGAAGTGGAGGGCCAGGCGGGCCGCCGGCGATGCCAATGCCAACGGCGACAGGTACGGCATCGCCGCCGGTCATCGTGCTGAATGATGACTAAAGAGATCAGTAATTTGCTTCATGGATTAGGCATTGTGGTGCCAGTACATTTGCGGTAGCTCGGTCTGTTGCAGAAATTCTTTTTGATCATGAAGGGAAGCGGGATGAAATCGATATGAATTGGCGGGTTAATTTTTTTTTTCATACAGAATGATACGAATAAGGTTCATTTTGAATTCGAATAATGGTGTATGTAGATGCAATCAACCAATCCGATGAGACTGTTCTTTTCCAATGGAATGCAAAGAGAAGGAATAAGAATCACTGACGAGCCCTCCACTCTGTCGCTGAACGATATCTGTATCTAGCGGCCTAGCCACCCAAAATTCAGCAAAGTTCTTCCAGCAATTACAGATCATCTTGGAAGGAGAAACAATCCAAACTGGACAATTCTTCCAGCAAAGTTCCATTAGAGAAACTCGTTTCTGACGAGACAGGGCAGGTTTATGCACTCTGCTGGCACTGGACCATCCTGAATCTGAAGTGAAACGAAATGAGAAAATCCCAAACAAAGTGGGGGCAAAATACTCAAACACATACTGCCAACTAAACTCGTGTGTTTCTTGCTCTGCACGAGGCGTGGCGCTTGAGATAGTGCCACCCGAGTGTTGACCCTGCCAGGAGAAAGTCAGCGGGACGTTTCTGCCGTTCCAAGATAGAGTAGGCCCTTGTTGCCCCGCCGCTTTGCGTATGGAAGTAGCGTCGCCGTTCGCACGTATGCGTCGCGACGTGAAGGAGAGGAGAGGAGAGGAGGAGTACGTAGCGGAGATGCGCGGCGCCTCAGCAAACGTGTTGTGCAAAGGCGGCCACCACGCCGGCGTGCCTCGTCAATGCCAATTGCCGCATGTGCTTGCTTGTTTTCCGCACGTAGTAGTAGGCTAGTAGCAGTAGCTTGGAAGCACGGCGTGCTCGCTCGAAAAAGGAGTGGCCCGGTGCAAGGAATGGAATCGATCCCTCCTCCCGCGGAAGGAACCAATGCATCTGTTCTATTCGATCGGCAGCCTTTGCTTTTTTTTAATACAAACGCGTAGCCCTCATTTATACGCGCATACGCTCACCCTATATGAACGCACGCACGCACACTCTATCCTTATGTGCATCTCCGAAAGACTGAGTTGGCATATCATCTTGAGATTTTACGAGGTCACCGTAGATGTCTCGTAGTCGACGGGAACATCTCCTCCCACTAAACACGCATCGCCAGAAATCCTAAAATAAATGCAGGATAAATGCGACCATCAAGACTTGTACCTGATGATAGCAATGTCCATCTAACCATTCAATCGCATGTTGGTTCGCCTTGTTTCGCACCTTTGAACCGTGATTTCTAGAGGAGCTAGCATGGTTCCTTTGTTGATGTAGAGCGCACATGAATGTGATGCATACAACGGGGTTGCGACCGTGCATTACTATGCCAGTGCATCAAACCTTTTTCCTGGCTTGTCGCATGTGTTTGTTGGTTCTAAAATGAAAGAAAATAAAAATCGCGTGACTATATATCGTGGGACGGGATTTGTCTCGCATAAAACAATGTTGAAAACAAAAACATTTGTAGCACTAAAAATGTTCCCGCGTTTCAGACAAAATGTATGTGACATTTAAAAAAACTCACATAATTCAAAAAAGATATGTGCCATTTAAAAAAAAGTCCATGCATTTCAGTAAATGTGTTACTTTTTAAAAGGTTAATAGAATGTAAATAAATGTTCATGTAGTTGAAAAAATGTTTAGTATCATTCAAAATAAATCAAAGCTTGGTTAAAAAATAGCACTTTAAAATATTCACAGCATATATTTAAAAATGTTTGTCATGTATACAAAAACTGTACAATGTGTATAAAAATATAGACATGTGTTATAAAAAATAAAATAATAAAAGTAAAACTAAAACAATAAAAAGAAAAAAAAGTAAAGAAAAAAAGAAAAAATAAACCAAAGAAAGTTGAAACCCAAGATAGAAAACATAAAAGAAAAGAAAAATAAAATAAATAAATAAATAAGAAAATCAAGAATAAGAAACAAAAAATGCAGGAAGGTTGTAAAACAAGTCCAAGCTGGTCTATAGAACCTTCAAAACCTGTTTTAATGGGCCAGCCCACTAGAAAGGAACAAGCCACAGAGCCAGAAGCGAGCCTACCGTAGCTCTGGGAGCCCCTAGTCAGCGCTGCAGGCGCCCGTTAACAAGTTGGCGCTTGCACTATCGCTGGCATGGGCCGGCCCACGAGTGTGCTCCCTCGCTCGCTTGGGGAAACAAAAACGGTCGAAATCAGTAGTTGAGGAGCGCTCCCCGCAACGATTAGTCGGGGAGCGCTCCGGGCTCGACAAGTGTCACGCGTGGGGCGGTCCTGAGACTTTTTCGGAGTGCTCCGCGCACGACACTTGTCGCGCGGAAGGGCTCTCCTGTGATTTCCAGTTTTCAGTTTTCCTTTCTGGTTTTTCCTTTTTTCACTTTAGCCCTTGTACTTTTAGTGTTTTGTAATACACTTTCGATTTGTTTCTCTCTGCTGTGGTCGAATCGTCGCCATGGAATTGTTCTTTCGTTGCCGTCGTCGTCGCCCGTCGCGCCCGCTGATCTTGTCGCATGTTTACGGCAGCGCCCGTCGCGCTTGTCGTCTGCTTACGGCGGTCCTTCTTTACCGTGGAGCGCGCATCCTCGTTCCTCTGATCGTCGTTTCCTACCGGTTGCATTCATGGGTTCCCTCTTTCCTTTTTGTTTCCCTTTTTGTTCCAATTATATTTCTGGGATATGGAGATTTATGGGGTAGTTACGGGTGGGGGCTATCAACACTATCGGATGTGAAGTTTCAACTCGGTTTGTGCAATTAGCTCTTGATAATCATTGTGTTCTTTGCAGGTACGGCTTGTCCTTTTTGCCGTATGCCGGGTGGCCCTTGTATGTGTGTTGATTTTTCTATAGATGTGTTCACTGTGGTTCTGGATCGGCGTTGTTCGACTCGTGTTGTAAGAATAACATTTTATATTTGATCAATTTTTGGCACACATGCTTATTTCTTTTGGTGCTGCTATTGCTGTTTTGAATGGAAATTATTTTAGGTTTTTTATTATGATCATTTATTTTGCATTATATTCCGTGCAGTGTTAGAGCTCATCTTGCTCGTTACATCGAGGAGTGTAAGGCTTTAGCCATAAGGAGGGGTGACAAAGATACTGATCTTGCTTTTCACTCTAGTGAGGGTTATTTGTATGGTGTTCTGTTTAGTCATGGTCGTGTGAGGAGCAAATTTCATGGTTCTTTCTGGGAGGATTTGGTCATTGATTATGGTCTTCGTCATCGTGATAGAATGACCGTTAGGCTTGAGCTCTATGGAAAGTTGATTGGTGTTGACTTTTATCGGGGTGGAAATATGTTGTCTCCTTTATCTTTTGTTGGTAAGGTTTATTTTTAAGGAAGTATTTCATTTGTTTCATTTCATATGTTTTTTCTGTTCCCTTGAACCTGTGTAATTTTATTTTGTAGCTCTTGATGGATTTGAGGGACTCTGAGAAAGAACTTATTGGGAGTTGTTTTTACACTCGTGGTGTTTATCTCAATTACCACCAGATGTATTTCATGATGCATCAACTCTTTGATGATGAGTATATACTCTGTTGTCCTTTTGTTCACAGGATTAATTCCATGAATGTTAATGCTCATAAAATAGTCAGTTTTATTTTCCAAAGTTTTTCTTTGCTTCTGTTTATTTATTTATTATTATTTCTTCTATTTATAGTTTTTAATTTTTGTTCTATTACTAATAGCTAGATGTTTTTGTTAGGTTATTCCTGGTATGGTTGTGAGGAGTTTGAAGGAGTTCGTATCATTTCCGAGGACTGGAGTTTAACTCTTGAAGTTACTTTGGAATCTCGTGATGATATATATGTGAGCACTCCTTGCTCCTACTTCATTGGCTTGGATAATAGAATGGTGTTCAAAAAGGAAGGGTTCAGTGATTTTCTGCAGGCATCGTCTATTGAAGTAAACAGCTTGGTGCTCATAACTTTCAAAGAGCGTGATGGGAGGCTTGTTGTTATCTTCAATCTTCTATCGCAGTGATGTTAGTTATAGCCTTTGAAAAGAATGGATGTTGTTTAATAATCTATATGCTACAGTATAATGTTATTTAGATATATAAAACGAATATGAACCTAATTGTTCATGTGTTGTTCTTCGTTTGTAGAAGAGGCATGGTTGTGCATCTCTTTTTTAGATGTTCTTTTGGATGGATGTTAGTTCATTGGAGGCATAGTTATACATAAATTAGAGGCACGTGTATGCCTTTGTTTTTTCTATGTTCCCTCTGACATGGTTGTAGAGAGAGGAATGTCTGTGCAACAGCAAAGAGACACGGGCTATCATGCATGAGCAGCTTGTAGAGTCACGACGCGTGTTACGCGAGGCACGGGTATGTAGGCACCAGAGTCACGTGAGTGAAGCCTGAGGCAGGGGGCACATATATAGGTTGTCGGCATGCGGCAGCACATGTTCGTCAAAAGAGGAACGTGTGTGCAGCACCAAAGTTGCACGGGCGATCATGACAGTTTTCATGTGAGGCACGTGGATTGAGTGACCGGAGGCACGGAAATGAATTCAATACAGGTATGGAAGTGAAGTCAGTACAGGCTCGATTTTGTGGCTTCTCGAGGCACATGTATCAACCCTCTTGAAGTACAAAAGGTGTGAAGTTCCTAGAGGCATGAAAGTATGGCAGCAGAAGCACCGGTCCGAATACTTTGTTAGAGAGGCTCGGTTGTGGATGCACAGGTGTGAAGTCTCTAGGGTCACGGGTGTGTGGCACCATAGGTATGGGTTTGAATAGACATTTGTAGAGCCAGGGTTGTACATAGGTCAGTTGCACACAACTGTGTAGTTTTGTGGCAACGGATGTACGGAGAGGAACCTGTGTGCAATAGCAAGGATTTTCTCAATGTATAGAGCAATGTTTGATGTCAAATTGTTGCTGTGTGATTTTTTTCCAATGTGGTTAAACTAACAA